ACCAAAAAAAAAAAAAAAAAAAAAAAAGGAAAAGAATATAGTAAGAGCTGCTATAGAAAATCATGTCCTACGTATTCCATATTCCACCTGGACGAGGCAAATAATCCTTTTTACCAGGGAACTGACAAACTTAGGAACCTTTCATTCGTGAATCTTGGTCCCCACCCGGATCTGAGTCAGTAGGACCTAGACAGCCGCATACGTTGGCGGGGGTGGGATTGGCCTACGCACCACGAAAGATTCATCCCGGAAGTAGTTATTGGTCGTCTCCATGCGCCGGTTCCTGGACATCGTAGAGCCAAGGCGCGAGGCTCGGACGGGGAGGTAGAGCTGGCGGGACTCTAAGAGCCCTCCGCCTGGGACGGGAACTGCTGCGCCCGCGGGGCTGGCTCCGGCGCCATCATGCTGCTCCTGCCAAGCGCTGCGGAAGGCCGGGGCACCGCCATCACCCATGCTCTGACCTCTGGTACGTGCCCACTCAACCCCTGCTCAGTCTAGCCTCAGCAGCCCCTGCCTCGGTCCTCCACCTTGGCGACCCCGAAACCTCTCTACCCTTGCCCCTGGCATCTAGCTTATAGAGTGTGGGGCCGTGACAAGTGTCTTTTTTCTCCCTGCTATACAGAAGTCCTTCCCCAGACTGGAAGGAAGGAGGAAGGGGGGCGTCTTCCTTCTGCCCCCGCAGTTTCTTCCTTGTCTCGCGGCTGCTGACTCATGGATTGGGCGGAGGAGTTCGGGACCGAACCCTCCAGTACCCTAAAAAGGTTCTCATAAGCATCTTGCCTACGGCAGGAGACTGCCCACAGCGAGCACCCCACGTGCCGGGGGCCCTAGAAAGCCTTACAGCTGGCGCTCAGTTAAACACCTCTCTCCCCTTTTACGTTTGCTCCGGCTTCGTTTTTTAAATGTCCCGACTCAGACAGCCCTCCTCATATTCAATATGGAAACACCACTGTGTATGCTGGTGGTATGTGTAGACAGACTTTTAAAGGCAGTCATTAAGTGAAACTTGTTCTGTGGAAATTAACTATCTTCAGTTTTTTTTTAAAAAAAAGGAGGGGGGTGAAATTTGTCCTGCTGCTGTATGTTCTTAGATTTATAGCCCAGGACAGTTATGGTATTGTAAACTTAAAGGGTCTCTAATTTCAGTGATTTCATTGATTACCATAGCCATATACAGACGCTTGTATGTGATGTTGGACGTATCTCACGGCACGTATTGTGTTCCTGCTTACAGAAGTTTCTGTGTAATCTCACAAGTAGAGGGAAAGGCTTGAAAGGTCATGTTCTTGAAAGCCACACTCACACTACACAGGTAGAACTTATTGAATATAGTGTTTTTGAATGCTCTCCTGTGAATGGTAGAAGAAATTTTTATTTCCCAACACAAAACATGAAAAGTCAGCTATTTTTACAAAATTGTGGCCATTAGGTACAAGGGAAGTTTTTACTGACACTGAGTTTTTACCAGACAGTAAAGCTTTTAGCTTTCATTTGAAATATGAAATTAAAATTAAGATGTTCACTTTTTTCCTGACCCAAACTACCTTTTTTGAATTAATGTACACATATGTAGTGACTTACCCCACTTCCCAGGAATAATGATAAAGACTTACATTTATTTAACAGTTTGTGACTTTCAGAGTGCTTTTATCGTTTGTCATTCAATCCTTCCAAGGAACCAGATAAGATAGGTATTGTTCCCATTTCACAGTTGAAGGCATCGTTGACTCATTTCATATAGCTACTAATTGTCAGACCTGCACTGAAATCCAGAGCTTCTGATTTCAGATTCAAAGCTGTTCCACTAAAGCACAGTTTCATTAGTAAATTCCTGTTAGCTGCTTGAAAATTGTCTTTCAGAAAAAATCATTGCTAGTGAATTCTTAAAAGTTTTGAAAGCTGTCTAAATTCAGGTATTAATAATTAAGATATTTTGAGTTATTTTTAGATTTTTGTTGATGAGACTGGCTCTTGACAGTTTATAATGATCGCTTTATTACAAGTCTAAAAAGAAAGCAGTTTGCAACATCTCTCCCTTTTCCTCATCTTCCTTTCATATCCCCAGAAAAGTATTGATTTATTGTTGACATTGCTCAATGTCTTGTTTTGTCAGATAACTGGAAGAGGTTGATTGAGTCTCTCTCTGTAAATACTAGGAAATGATTATTTATTGCTAACCCTCATGTTAACTGGATTACTGCGGTTATTTTCTGAGTTGATGGTTTTAAAATTATATTCTGATGCTGTCACTGTTTTGATCTTATTTATTGCCTTGGAACAGATTTATTCCATGCAATACATTGAAGCCTCTCTTAACGCTTTCAATCACAGCCTCAACACTCTGTCAAGTTGAACCTGTGGGAAGATGGTTTGAAGCTTTTGTTAAGAGGAGAAACAGAAATGCTTCTGCCTCTTTTCAGGAACTGGAGGATAAGAAAGAATTATCAGAGGAATCAGAAGATGAAGAATTGCAGTTAGAAGAGTTTCCCATGCTGAAAACACTTGATCCCAAAGACTGGAAGGTACTTAATATCTGAATCTTGTTTGGTCAGATGGCAGTTTTCCATTATTAAACCATGTTTTAAGATGCTTCAACCAAATAATCATGATTGAGCACCTGTTTATTGTTAAGCCCTGAGTGGGACAGCAGTAGCCCTAGGATACTATCTCTGCTAGAGAAATCCAGAAAAAGCCATGTCTGAGTTGGTCTTAAAAGGTTAAGTGACAGTTTATGAAACAAGAAGGGAAAAAAGGTGTTACGGGCAGAAGGAATAGATATGCAAAGACACAAAGGAGTAAAAGAATATGCACTGCCTCTTCAGGGATTGGTGAAGGGTAGAGTAGCATATTGAGGGGTGGCAGTGAGAAATTAGACTGAAAACAGAGTCTAGATGAAACTCTGTTGTGTCCTTTTCATGCCATGCTAAGGAAGGAATTTATATTTTATTTTGGGGGCAGTAAGAAGTCATCAAAAGTTTCTGAGCTAATTTTAGAAAAGTAATTCTCCTGGCAGTACAGAAACTTGCTTGAAAAGGGAGGGCAGGACCAGAGGGGAAGGGAACAGTTTGCTGTTATGGGGCTAGTGCCATAATCCAAGCCTGCGAATGAGTGCTTGATGCTTGAACTAAATTTGTAGCCAAGTTTTGAGGACAAAGGGACGGATTTGCTTTTTGGGGAGGTAGACTTGACAGGTCTTGGAGACCTAGGCTGTGCCGCCCAAGAGAAGGGAACATATTGGGAAGACCCGTGCTCATCCCAGCTTGAGTCACCTGCTAGACTGTGGTGTCAGTCACCAGCACAGGGTTTCAGGAAAAGGAAGTTTGTGGGGAGCGTCG